GTTGATAATTATTTTGAAACTACAATATTTTATAATGAAATTTACCTTTAATTTGGAAACATTTCGTTTGCACAGTTTAATATTCCAATCAAAAATAATTTTATTAACAAATTATGCCTGAGTTGATTTCAACTCTATGAATTAACATATGTATTTCAAAAACTACTAGATACACATTTTTATTTTTATATCTCATATTGTCGGTGCAAAGAAAATTTATTTAAATTATTTGGATTCATTCGTAAGCTCATGATTATAAAATTTAGATAGTTTTCAAATGTTAATTTAATCTATTGAATTAAGTAATTTTATGGAAACATTGAATGTAAATGGATTATCTTCTTATGGCGAAAGATTATGTCAAAATGTTAGCATTTGGTTAACGTACCACTTTTTATTTCGGATATGTGATCATGGCGACTTTTTATTAATATTCCTAACCACGTCAAAAAAAAGCTTAAGGAGATCGATCTGAAATTCATAATTATAACTTGTCTTTATATTTTTATCTAATTTTAGCGCTACGAATTTTTATTCAAGTAAGTAATTCCGATATTTTACTTGTTTGATACGCATTAACATCAACAAAACAAATATGTGAATCTTTTAGGAGGAGATCATCATCGAGACTTATATTCAAAGGTTGAACAAATTATTTGAGATTATTTATTTTAATGTAATCAGACGAAGGCAGTATTTATAGAAGTTAGTAATTTAGTTTATAACTTTGAGAATTTGTATTTTGCGCACCCTGCACAAAATGCACCCCTATATTTATATATGTTGAAGCGGAGTTAGGGTTAGGGGATATTTACAGTATCACAACGCATCATACCCCTATGTGTTCATTTTTACGGTTTATTCTGGGGACAGAATTTTTTTATAGAAAAATTTTATTTGTCACCTATTATATAACAGTCCCTACATTTTTGTGCAGGTTCGTAGAAAATAAAGACCCTATCACTTTTATTGGTTTTTAAATTAATTTTTGTATATGTATGAGAATTTTTATTTTATTGTTAATTTACAAATAAATTTAATTTTACCATACGTTCTCAACTATAAAATATTTGAACATCTAACCTAAAATTATTTTTTAAAATAGAGATAACTAAAAAATCCGCTCTATTCAGTGTTAATTATCGAGCCCTGGCACATGGCTTCTTAAAAGGAAAAAGGAAGGAATATATAATTAAAATTATTCAAAAACAAACAAGAATGAAAATCAAAAAAAGATATATATATACCTAGAAACTCTTCAACGTCTCACTCGTATTCTAAAAAATACTTATGATTAGTAAAATTAATATAGATAAAATTGTAACAATAATAGAGATCAAAAAGCATTCAAATGCATAGTATGAAAGTATTTTATTTCGTTTTCGTATATCAGTACGCAGTTTTTCTTACCCATACGACATGAAGGAAAAGTGTTTCTCAAAATTTAACGCGTGATATGAGAGAGAAATGATTAATTTAAAGTAGAGATGAGCTTGATTAAAGTTTTCAAGTATATAAAATATATGAACGAGTATTGTTTCTTTTTAATAAAAAAAATGTTTTCCCTTACTTTTCGGACGCAATGTTTAAAATGCACGAAACGTAATGATGTAACACAAACGTTAACTTGTGACCTAAGATTTATCATACAGATAATAACGATAATAATAAAGTTCCTTTATTTAGTAGCACAAAACCTGTGCGAATAAAGTTTATTCCTCGTAGTTCATTCAGGAATTTGAGAAATAATACCTTATCGTATAAAGCTGATGTAATTATTTTTTTAATTTCAGCCAAAAATTAGATTTAATTCAAATAGATGATCTATTTAAGTACTAAAATTTCCAAACTACGTTAATCTACTTCCTTTTGTTGTAATTTTTTAAATGCATTATCTTCAATTAAAATGTTAACTTTAATTAATAAACATTAAAGAACTCAAAATACAACAGATTGTTCATTTCAACGTAATTCTAACGTTATACTCGTGATATGACGTTTCATCATTTGTTGACATCGTTGTTATGCCTGGAATTTTACCGAAACCAAGCTAACAAACTAATAATTTAATAACTCGATTATCTCGAAGGCCTTTCTAAGAGAAATAAACAATTAACAAACAAAACAATTTATTATGACGATTCACTAATGTAGTTAGTTATCACGACCAATCCTAAGATGAAGACAAGAAGAAGGTTGAAAGTGTAAAATAGTAACTTTGTTAATTTAAAGAGTTTGTAAGTCTAGTCCTAACTTATCTCAAACTTTGTCGACACAAGGTCAACTTACAGGTCTATTTTTAACTTTACTATACTACGCCTTTCAATAATAATAAATAATTCATGTAATGAAAACTAGATAATACTAATCAAGTAATGAAAAATAAACTATATAATATAAGTAATGAAAAATAAATTATTCGATAACAAAAATAATTAAAACGTTACGTGCGTTATATGAATAACAAATATTACTTTCATGATAATCGCCGCAGTGAGGCGCGGCATGTTTGCGAATAACACCGTAAATATATATTAATTTCGTTCGAAATCTTCTGATATATTCATTGTCTATTTCCGCTCTTTTATTTATTGAAAGGCCTCTTCTCTACGGCAATGTAAATTTTTTTAACCTTTTTTACTCTTATTTTTAGTGAAAAGTTCTGAAGTTACACGAGAAACCAAATCGGCAAAAGTTATTTGAAAAGGGGCTGCAATAATAAATTCTTCAACTGCAACGAAAAATCAAAATGGGTCATAACATACCCTGTCGTTGATTAATTTATTGTTTCCTAGCGACATGTCAAAATAACTATGGCAATAATCAATGATGTTACAGAATTTCTAGAATTTGAATTTTTAGTTTTATTTTCTGGTTGGTTCAATTCCAACATTAATCTAAAATATATTTATTCTTCATGTATAGTAAAGAATACTAATGACATTTTGAAATAAATCTTAAAAACATGGGTAATAGATTAATTATTGTGATGTAAATTGTTTTTTTGTTAATAAATATTTTTTAAATACGTGTTTGGGTCGTTTAGAAACACATACGAATTCTCGTCGACATAACACGTCGAACCAAGAAAATGATGCGCGCAAAGTTAATTTTTACATGTAGTGTATATGCATGTAATTGGGGTGCATATTGGAAAACCTTTTAATAACTTTTTTGTTATTTGCAAATTTTCCTCCATAATACCTTGTTTTATTGTTTTACGCATTATGTTTGGATAAATATGTCATTCTGCATACGGAATTTACACAATTATTAAATTCCTTATTTGATAATTCTAGCAAATAATGTAATGATATTTTAGGATTGAAGAATTTCATTGCATACAATTACGTTATATTTTGATGAATGTTGAGCTACCAGCGTTAATGACATAAATGTAAACTTTTTAGGACATTTCAATTATACTATACATAATATTACTTCTATTTTTTTTTAATTATTTGATTTCAATAAAAATGCTTATCATATAATTGAGAATCAAAATCTGAAACATAAATGTCGAGATTGTAAAACAATATACTATACTTGTACAAAAAAAAAATTGAATCATGCATTATTACATCATTAATGCACAATTATGCATTTAAATTGATGTTATGCCGAAAAGATTATGCAGGATTCATTTAAACATTTGGATAATCCTTTTTTATACAATTAAAAAGAAGTATGAATAGATACAAGCAAATGGCAAGATATTGTTTAATCAAAGAAAAAAATTAAGAATGCAAAAACGTGTAAAAAATTCATGTCGAAACTCCGGACAGATCCTTAAATTCCTTTTTCATGAGAATTGACTGTTATTTGTCTATCGGAATCTGAACTCCATTCGTAGAATAGGGAATGATTACTGAAAGTAAACTTAACCGACAGTTCGTTTTTCGCATCTCGCTTTACACAAGAAAAATTTCAAACAATCAAACGAGGAAATTACCCACAAAGAAATAATAGTTGATTGCTAAAAACGATTATATTTTGTTTTATTTTATTAAAGGTTTTGTAAAACATTTCTTTTTTTTTTTTTTTCCAATAAAGCATATTACGACAATCGTTATTTATGAAACCCAAAAAGGAAATATTCCTAAAAATCGCTCAAAATCATAAAGGTTTCCATAAATTTAAACAATCGTCATGAAACAGAATTTATTTTTAGAGAAAATTATCTAATTGTTAATTTCACCAATCATTACAAATAAAATATACAAAGTGTTACTTTGTTTAGTATTTTGGTGAGAAAAAATTAATAAGCAAAACAAATCTTAGGAGCATTTAACCTTAAATCGGCCATATTGAAGTAAAGCGAATGTCATGGGAGTACAAGGGTCAAAGTTGTCGGTATATTGGACCCGTTATCTATTTTATTTCAAGTAATGAAATAATATGTTTATGAATTCTTTATGTAACTACTTTTAACCATTGGATTATTATAGATTATCTATACCGACAAACGATAAAATGTTTTTACTACTGCATTCGATTGAGAATATACAAATAAGTATGTGTAGTACAGCTGAAAAACATCTTTTTTTTTTTCTTTTACGATAGGACAAAACATTTCATTTGTGCTCTTTATTTATCATTAATTGTAACCATATTTGGTATTTTTCAATCAACCTAATAATATTTTTGGATTTACGTCAGTCCAAATAATTTGATGTTCCCTAAAATCGCATTATTGGGATCACAACACCTCCATTAAATTAAGCACAATGCATGTGTTACATAAAAGTTTCAATGTCGACTACATTTTTAGTTGCTTGTTTGCATGATTACATGAAGAACGCAAAACAAAGACTAAGCTAAGCTTTCTTGGTACAACTTTGTCACAAAAAAGGTGTTATTGAAAATTTCAATTAATTAATTTTTTTGAAATTATTTAAGTCCAACAAAAAACGTCGCTCTTTTTTTTTTCATTTCATTTCATTTATTTATTTTTAAAAATTTAATCACTTTGGTAGAAATTTTAGCGAATTTTCACAAAAATGGATGATATAAAATTATCGAACTTTGAAATCCCTTCAGATTTAATTAAACCTGCGGATCCACTTGATGACTCGGGAAGTAAATGTCGTGTTAAGAAAAGAATGTACTTTAAGTCACCTGTGGCTGAAAAGGAAATCGGACAATTCAAAAAAAATGATCAAAGACTTCGTGATTTGGAAAAAGAAGTCAAATATATTCATAAAATTTGTAATTGTAGCTCTTATCTTACATTGTAAGTATAAAATGTAAAGAGACTTTTATTTTTTCTTTGATTAGAAGTAAAGCTTTTCTTACCAGTCACATTGTGTTCTTTTCCTTTGAATAGCTATGGTTACACTCGTCGAAACACAAGTTACAGCGCTATTTGGAAATGGGGTGGCTATAACCTACAAGCTTATCTTGCGGAGAACCCGAACCTGGAATGGAAAATAAGACTATCGATCGCACACGGGATTTCTAACGCGTTAAACTTTATTCATAAAGAGGAGATCCTACACTATGACATTAGAAGGTGAATGTCATTCTGACGCACTATTATACGCTATAAATAAATCTTATACATTAATTATTATTAATTTAATTTATTAGCTGCAACATCTACCTGAGCCCTTGCTTGCAAGTTAAACTTCATGGTTTTCGTTTAGCGGAAGATTCATCTATTTCACCGGTTATGTTAACTTCAGCTAGAGAGCGTACGGATCCTAGATGGACTCCTCCCGAAAAAACTCGAGATAAAATGTATACTAAAGCCAGCGAAATTTATAGGTA